CCATGCAAACCCCGTTTCCACTCCCTCCTCACACACCTCTACCCCCTTCCCTACCTCCACCATACCCACACACTCACAGTCCAGGAGAGTTTTTCCCCTGCTGCTCAGCTGGATCAATTGTATCATCCCCAACTATATATTCAAAGTCACTTGTATGCACTATGCAACCCTCTTTCAAAAAAAAATAAATTATGTAAAACAGAGGGGACATGAGCAGCAGCATCGCTGGAAGGGAAAAAGCTGGGCTTACAGCATCAGGAAGGGCTGCCAGGCAGGTGAGGTCCATGGGCAGGGATGCTCCCACGGCCTCTGAAGCAGGCAGGGGTGGTGGACAGGTAGGAGTGGGACCCACCGAGCATGAGGGAGGACTGGCAGCTTGTGGAAGGGAAAGGCAGCCCATTTTTACAAGAAATTCACCTTTGCAGTGACAGCCAGGGTTACACAGGGTTACACAGTGACTGCCTGGGCAAAAATGTTTGGTGACTTGTAGGGAGTGAGCTTGGGGCTTGTTAAGGGACTGAGAAGCCCGGGACTGCCTGCAACAAGCCTGGGGTCTCAGGTAGAGTCTGGAGTGATGTTTTTCCTCTTCCTGATTTCCCAAAGGATGCAGAGGGCATGTGAAATTCTGTACATCACACAGTCCTTCCTCACTGTGTGACGTTCCAGCAGGCAGCTTGTATATCCTCACTCTGAGCCAGGGAGGGTTGGATGAGTGGTGGGCAGGGGGGTACACTGGAGACCTCCCCCAGTGCCACCGGCCCTGCACTACCGTCTCGCTCGCACTGCCCTTTCGGCTCCGTCCTTTGCTGGCTCGGTCCGTGCTGTGCTCGGCCCCCTCCCGGGCGCCACGGCGGGAACGTGATGCGGCGGGAACGTGGTGTTCTCCATGTTCTCCGCTACGCTGTGCCCCACAGCACGACAGTTGCCTGGAACCCGCCTCCGGCTGACACCGTCAGCCGCCCCAGTTTCACCCGGCCCTGTGCTCCCTTCCCCGCACTGTGCAATGACAAGATGGCCGAGGGGAGCCGGGCCTGCAGGGAGGAGGAGGAGGAGGAGAAGGAGGAGAGCTTTCCAGCCCGGCTGGCGAGCTCAAAGTCCTGCAGAAGGAGCCGGGCAGAAGGGAGCAGATGGCTTCCCCGGGGAAGGGAACACGGCGTCTTGCTCTGGGAGGTTTGCTGGATCTAGTCCGGACGTAGGGTTTGGAAAGAAGGCGTCTTAGGAGAGGTTGTAGCTGGAACACGGGATCGTTAGGTCGTTGCTTAGCAAAAAATAAAATGTAAAAAGCCAACAAAAACCATGTGCTAACCACTCACATCAAAGGAGCTGGGCTCGGCTCCCAGAGCAGGGCCACAGATTTCTTTATTCCAGAGCCAACCCTGGAAGAGGAAGGGGAGAGGCATTCCAGTGCCCCACACCAGCTCCAAACTGGGCTGGGGGGGAATAGAAACCCCCCTCCCACGTCCTAGGGCCAGAAAGGCACAGGAACCCTACAGGCTGAAGCCACTGTTCTGACTGGGAGTCCCATCCTTGGGTTAGGGGAGCTTGCAATCCCCACTCCACCCCAATTTAGCACCCCATTGAAAAGCAGAGGCAGGGGAATTAGGCGTGGCCCTTGCCACCCTCAGCACTTCAATACTGGCATTAAACATTAACCAAAAGATTTTTCAGGGCCTCAGACACAAGCCCACAGCCACAGGGAAGAGCTGGAGAGCTTCAAAGCCTGCCCCAATTGCCTGACAGCATGTTGATGTACCTGGTTGCCATGACTTCATGGCAGAGAAGCGGTTGAGTTTGCACCTCTTTCTTCTCATTTTTTCCCCTCCATCTTCCCAGCACCTTCCCCCCTTCCCAGCAGGTTTGAATCACCCTTGGGGTGGAGGAGGAGCTGTACCTGTGAGGACATTTCTACTGCTTGCACAGAGTCAGGGCTCCCCAGCAGCCGATAATGATGTTGCCCATCTCCCCGCAGCAGGGAGGGATGAAGTCATGAAGCACAGCCCCCCTGAGCTGCCATCACAGCTTTCCGGGATGGGCAGGTAGGAAAGGTCATTTCGGCTGGCACCGATGCATCACCCTGCGTTTTTCATCTCCTTTTCTACATCTGACTCAGCCCGATGCTTTGATGGGTAATGGCAGCAATAGGCAGGGGGCAAGGAATGAGAGGGAGAGGAGAACACAATAGCGAGCCACCTGTTGCAAATTTCCCCAGTTTTTCACTGAAAATTCCTATGGTAAAAAACTTCCAGCCAGAAATTGCAGTTTTATAGGCAAAAGCAGACAGGCCCTGAAAGCTCCACAGCATCTGCTGCAGAGGGGTCTCTTGTGGGAAAACACAGGACAAGGGACCATCTCTGGTCCATGAACCATACTCCCCTGAAAATTACAGGCAAGCCTGAAAAGGAGCCAGTTCTGCAGCAAAATGAAGGTGAAGGGCTTTTTTCTAACACATAGGGGCCAGCACAGCATGGCTCAACTTGCAACGGGCAGGAAAATTGATCTGTCTTATTGAACACTTGTCTGACATGCACAGCTGAATTTTGGGAAGCCAAGGTTTGTGTTTTTTGTGTACAGCACCAATGACGAGCACACAGACCAGCTAAGGTGGGTTGTCTTCTTGATGGTAACTTCTAGTGGGAAGGCTGTTACCCTTGGGAACAAAAATAGCCTGTGCTCTCCTGTGAGCCACCTTGCACTTACCTTGGGGGAGTTACAGTGTGGGAGCTGATGCTGCAAATTCACACCCAGCTCACCTCGAGCTGTTTACACGCTGATGCTTCGAGAAGGCTGGGGAGTGGTGGACGCTCCCCTATCGCCGATGCAGGTCATGGAGACATTAGCTTTGGTCAGCTGGTGGCCAAAGAGATAACAGAGTGGCAGCCAGGCCAAAAGATTGTGTGCTGAGGTAAGCAGGACCCTATGATCACCTGCAGGTCAGCACGACCCTGCAGAGATGCCCATGGCCAGCACGTCCGTGCATATGCACACAGCAGTTAATTATTCATTAGTGTGAAAGAAGTACGACTAAAGAGCATGGTATGGCTGAAGATATCATCATGCTCCAACACGGAGCACTACAAAGATACCAGCTTTACCTTTTCCTCTGGACCTATGGGGATAAAACATAGAGGAGATAAAAAGCTGTGGAAGAGAAAATCATCTTTTCCACCTGCCAGCTGCCGAAAGTGCCAGTCAACAGTGCTACCTTCATGGAAAGCAGCCAGATGCGGTGAGTGAGTAACCACACCAACAGACAGCTCAAAGGATTTGGACTCTTCTGCACTGCACAACACTCCTGGCACTGTGGCCTACCTCACAGGGCAGGTACCATACGACCAACTACCTTATGGCACCTGTTACATGTCCTTGCCTTGCAATTCCCTTGCAACTGATCAGTAAAGAATTATGTGAGAGGACATGGGGCCCAGCCAGCACAGATGGTCCAAATTTGACATAATTTTTAGTTGTCTTTATACGACTCCGATTCCTGGCTTATATAAGAGCTCCTGACATGATGAAATGGAGGAGGGACATCTCTAGCAGCATGCTGAAGCTCAGAGGAGGAACAAAAGGACTCTCCCATCAGTCTGACCCACTGCAGGCACTAAGGTCCTTTTGAATCAAACTATGGACTAGAGTGTGGCCTCTCATAAAACACAAGGTGCCAGTGGCACTGCTGGCAACGTTCTGAAAGTCTGAAAATCAAGGAAGCCACAAACACAAGACCCCTAAGGACAGAGCAGGGGCACTCTGCCTGGGCAGAGGACATGGCACTCCCTTGCTGCTACTGCTGAGGCAGCTGTGTGGACTGAGGACTTCAGCCAGCAGCACTGGGCAACCTTCCTCAGTATCGTGGCTTGCACTGGTGAAAGGAACTGAACAGAGAGGACAAGAGCACATCTCTGGTACCTACGAGTCATCCAGGAAGCATGTAGGATAGAGACTTGGCACTGTCCTTCACCTGAGCTACACCACTGCTCACTTACGTGATTCCTGAATTACTTTTCCTTTTCAGCCTCCGCTTCAGGATTTTCATTTTAGAACACACACAGAAAGGGACATTTTACTATATTTTTATTGTAAAAACACAGTTCCCCAGATTTATATAAATAAGCCATATACGTAATATACAATTACGTTCATTCCATCCTCCAACACTGACAGCTTTAAAAAAGTGAAACAGGCTAAAAGAACACAAGTCCAAAAAGACGTGAGGTTGCTGATGACCAAGTGATCTCACATGGAGCCTCCTTCCTCTGCCAGCCTCCAAACAAGATGCTGAAAGTACACAGCACTCGCAACACCCCCAAGAACTGACAGCGAGGCATTTGAGCCTCATGAAGAGTTCTCACCCACTCCCCAGGCGTCGTCAGCCGCCCATATTTTCATGCTATTGCAGTGTGCGGTGGGTGAGAAAGGAGGGGGCAGTTTGCATAGCAACCTCCTACGCCCAGGCAGCTCAGCCGTTGTACCCTCCCGAAAGAAGCAGGGAAGGGCAAGCTGAGTCTGCTTCCCTGTGGCTAACACCCCTCACAAGCAGCCCAAAAGGAGACCCTTGGCACTGCCAGTTCTGCGTGAATGTCTTAGAAGGGAGGAAGAAGGCAATTTTCAGCATTCAGAGGAGAGACAGGCACTGGTCAGAGCCACACCACACAGTAGTGGGGAAGGCAGTGAAGAGAAGACACAACGTGGAACGAGTGGGAGGAAAAAAAATAAAGTAGGGCTAGATAGCACCTCTTCTCTTTCACTTCCCCCTCTTAGTGCTGCTGTTCAACTGCAGCGTGTCATGACATCACCCATTCACCACCTCCTTCCTGCTTCGGCTCAGGCACCAAGGAAAGAGCCACAGACAGATGAGAAATCCCACGAGCAAGGACAGGACAGGATGGCTTGGCAAGTTTATACGCACACACGCACCTACAATGCGTATCCCATGGAACTGTTACGTCAGTACGAAAAAGGAAAAAAATCTTGACATTTAACTATTAAAAATAAAGCCCCACCTCCAGATTGTACAAAAACCATCAAGAGAAGAAAGAAATCCCTTGTATGCAGCAAGTCTGGGACCCAGCCAGATGTCAGGAGCACTTCCAGACACACACGGCCAGGTTGCCACCGAAGAACATGTACAGCAGATTCTTCACCTCGTAAGTGATCTCAAAGCCAAAAGCTTCCCCAATCACTACGTGCCAGGAGGACCCAAATTTCTTGTCCATCATCTCTTTGATCATCTTGGCAGCGCTCTGGAGGATGTTAAGAAGGAGAAAGCAGGGTGAGACAGAGCAAGCAGTGAGTTTTTATGGGAACATCCCCCTAGTCCCCCTGAGCCATAGGCAACAGGTATAGCAGC